TTTCGACTTTATACCAAGAGCTAATAATACCTTTAATAATGCTCTCTAATAACATCCGTTTACCAATAGCTCTTGTGTATACGTATATATTGTTCCTTCACGGTTATGATAAGTATCCTATCTATCTATTTCAGACGAGACGACCACGACGCTGTGGCAATTCCTACTCGAGCTGCTACTCAGTAAGCGCAACGACAAGATCATACGCTGGACGAACGAGAACGACGGCGAATTCAAGCTCGTGCAGCCGGAGGAGGTGGCGAGGCGGTGGGGCGTTCGCAAGGGCAAGGACAACATGAACTACGACAAGCTGAGTCGAGCGCTGCGCTACTACTACGACAAGAACATCATCAAGAAGGTGCTCGGAAGCAAGTTCATGTATCGATTCGTTTCCTTCCCGAAGGTCGTCAAGACGGAGACGAAGATTCCCTTTCGCGTCAAGATGGAGAGTCTGCTGAAGGCCAGAGGTGGCGCCGACCCGCGGAGATTCGACACCAGCGCCGCCGCTGCGCCGCTCCGCGTTCCCTCGCCCCCGCAGACGACGGCCCTCAGCTACCGCGGCAAACTGCACTCTGTTACGTTCCCAGACCGACAGCAGCAGCAGCAGTACCAGAAGCAGCAGCAGCAGCAGTACCAGAAGCAGCAGCAGCAGCATCAGACGGAAGAGATACCGACAGACGCGCTGCGTTTCGACTCGCGGTTTCACGCAAGCGAAAAGGGACCCACCACCACATCTAAAAACAACTGCATTTGGTCGTCCAGCAGCACAGCCGGCGGTACGGGGAGTCCCGACTCCGGTGTTTACCCCAGATGCGCCATTCTAGATGCTTCCAACAAAGTCCTCCCTTCGAGTCACAGAATCTCCGCATCGTCGGGGAAGAGGACGTCCGATGGCGAAGAAGAAGGGTACGGCAGCGGAGCGAGCGGGACTTCGGAGAGATGCGGGAGCGCACAGGACACGTGGCCCGTCGTCGGCGACGACGGCTCAGAGAGATGCAGGAGCTACGGCGTCGGCGATAGATGTCGCGCAGCACCGTGCAGTTGTCCCGTCACACGTAGCGACGACGACGACGACCACCGCGCCTCCAGCGCAGACGACAACGCAATGCGCAGCCGATCCAGAAGTCCTCTCCGATCCGGTCCGGGTCTCCCCCGGATCTCGCGTCCGGAGAGCGCCCCCGTCGGCCACGCGACAGGGTTTCCGTCGCGTCCGACATCCGACGTCGTCGTCACGGGTCAGCTCGCCGACGCCGCGTCGCTGGGTTTCTCCACGAGCCGACAGAGCGACGTCCTCGCGCTGCGATTCTGGGACGACGTCATGGCGACGTCGTCGGGCGGTCCGAGTCCGCCGTCGGCGACGTCGGCGACGTCGGCCGTGCGTCCGCGGCCCGGTCCGCTCGACCTCTGGCCCGTCAGCAGCAGCAGCATGGCGGTGGTGTCGAGTCCACGCACGATGGCGGCCGGGTTTGCGATGCAGACACCTCTGCTGACGGTCGCCACGCCGAGTCCGTTCTTCTCGTGCGCGACGCCCTTCTTTAGCTCGCTTACGTGTCTGGCGTCGCCCGGCCTCGCGGCAGTCATGAGCCCCATTACGAGCTCCCCGCTCGCCTTCCAGTTCCCCGCCACCGTCGCCGGGCTGTCCGGATACGGATCCGCCGCGAGCGCCCCCTATCAGAGCTACGTCGACATGCGACCGCGTGCCTGCGGCGTGTTCTCACCGGTGCCTCTATCCCCCGCCCTGACCCCCGTACCTCCACTATGATGACGTGTGTAATTAATGTATGTAGGGTGGAGGGAGGGCGGTGCCTCTCTCCCCCGCCCTGACCCCCGTACCTCCACTATGATGGAGGGAGGAGATGGTGCGGCTCACGTCTGTGAACGCGTGGCAAAGTAACACTGATCTCTATATCTCGATATAAGCATACTGGAGGGATAAGCTATATAGAGTGTATATTAGAGACATAATATACTATAATATTGATATAGTTTATTTTGTATCTAGATCAATATAGTAAGCGGCATTTAGAATTTCGTCGGCACGTGAAATGCAATAGAGGGAAATTGTCACAGTGCGTTTACACTTACTGATGACGAGGCATTTTGTATTTTACTCTTTACAACGTATTAATGTGTTTGTTTAAAGATTTTTTATAATAATCAACGCAGCAGCAGAGATGATGTCATGGCTCGAATGTCAGTATTCAATTCGTGCTTTTTTTATACTACCAAAGACGAATACGTGCCCGCGAACGTGTGCGCTGCGTGTAAATAAAACATACATTTTATTCGATAGTCGAGACTTTATTGTTTCCTATCCCATTGGCTAGAAAGCCACATACACAGTGTGCATGATCCATAGATGCTTAAACAGGGGGTTCCTGATCCGAGGTTACTGATAACATTCGGTAATGAGTCATTATCAATCTTATTTAACGGAATAACATGAATTTGCAGGCCAGGCCAGGGCAGAGAGCGTGCATCATTACAACCTGTTAATTTACGGGAATTATTTAATCACATTTTCCTATAAAAGTATTAAAGAAACATAACAAAATTCCTGATTATAAAAGGGTCTGGTATATATACTATCAGGAGCACGTTAAATCGCGAGCTAACAGATTAACGTGACCTTGACCAAGGGCTGCCTCATACGACGATAACATGAAGTTGTACGTTACTTTTAGGATGAATCGCACCAGCACTCAATCGAATCATGATTTGATCAACGAGTAAAATGACACCCGCACTAACATCCCGTCAACAAACAGACGGTTAGACGCTCTTTCGGAGCCTGAACCTGGGAGTGAACCACCATGCTTGCCAACTAGGTCTGTAGGTGACAACTAGGTGGCAACTCTTGCCGATCCCTGCCTCTACACAGCTACTGACTATAGCTGCATAACTACAGACGGAATTCGAGAGTACCATATAATGATTTCGCGAACTAAAGGTATATTCCTACATACTCCCCGTATAGCACTCCCCTGATATACATATGTTCATGATACTACCAGGAGTGAATAATAATAATCTATTATTATTCAGTCCTGACCAATACTACTATGCATGAATGCAAGTTCTTACACTCTACGCGTCGACAGAAACTCCCCCACAAATCAGACAAATTATTGCAATGTATTGATACATATAATCAGAAGTAGATAATAGGGAATAGATAATAGGGAACCACTTATATATTAATGCCTGTTGTTGGGGGCACTATGCTCTCATAGTGCCCCCAACAACAGGCATTAATGTTTTTAGTGCATCACATGACTTTGCAATCTACTCGGCAAATATGAAGTGAATAAGACAAAGTTTCTTAAACGAATAATTTCAATTTGTATTAAAATACAAACGTAACACATTGCAACTGGAATAAACATTGGAATAAAAGTATTGTCCGAGTATCGCAAGCGCACTGCGTCGTGCAACTATTGTTTCATAGTACCTGCGACGTTATCCAATGGAATTTCAACGATTTATCATGTGATGCACTAATACTGATATAATGATATTATAAACATATAATATCACTTTCACCCAAAAAAGTACACCGTCATTGCTAAAAACGTACAACCTCTAAATCCTGAAAATTTGCCTCATAAAAAAGCTACCACAGAAACTCATGTGTCAACGGTCATGTATCAAAAGACGTGTATTGACGTTAGTCTGAGGTAGTCATGCGGCCTGGTGGGACAAGTCAATGGCAAAAGCAAAGTCGAAATACACGTAGACGCCTATACCATCCGCATCTCGACTTTACCTTTTTTGCAACACATTGAGAATGCAAATCAACTCCTTGGTTTATCATTGTCCGACCCCAATGTAGCTACCGTGTTTAACCGTATTCAGATACATACAACACATGTATATACAGAGATATGTTCATGTTCATGATACAACAGGATAGATGATTATACTCAGTAGGTATATTCACGAGTATGCACACGTTCATGATATAACCCGGGGATATAGCGTACCCGCAGTTCGCCCACGCCTGACTCAACCGATAGCAATTAAGTTACGTCTACTACGTGGGCTGCCGTACTATGTGCGGGGTGGCGTACGTGCATAGAATGTTTACACAAATATTTCAAGCTCGTGAGAGGTGGCAAGCTATCAGTACTCCGTCATAGTCATACTTCAGTACATATCATCATATTCACATTTGCATAGCTGAACCCAAGTCACATCTTTATCGATCACTAGTGATTGGCCACTGGTGATACGATCGCACCCTGGGTAAAAATTGTGTGGGTGGAACTGAAAACACAGCTCTGTTACGGATTGATCAAAAACCTCAATAGATAATTGCAACAAACGTAACCGTATGCGAGGTTGAAAAATACACTAAGAACGTGGATTTTAACTGTGAATTTTTCTAGATCTCAGTTTTTCATCATTTTTTTCAGGCCCATTTTCATGATCTGGGAGTTATACGTTTTTTAGTAGTGACTTATGTTTGCTTTAGTCTTGTTCAAATAAAATTTTAATACAAAAGTCCACGGTAAAAACCATCATGCTTTACACTCAACTACTAACACCTTAGTATCATCGTTGTACCTAATAACCACTGCTAAATTACTAAAGTAACTCACTATAGTATTTTAGTTATTTTTTTTAATTTAACAAATTTTAGTTTAGCCACTGCATACGAGTTGAAATTGGAAAGCACATTTCATGTGCTTTCAACGATATATAAAATTATAGGCAATATCTAAACACATTTTACGGCGTCATTTAATGGCGTCTGTATCACACCGTGTTGCAAAAATAAGTGAAATCTAATATTTTTACTTAAAACATGATAAGCAGAAAAACCGATAAAATTCAGGGATAGATTAATCTACATTAACACAGCCAACTATTCCAACATGCATGGCGTTTTCTGTGTTGCCGTCAATCGTTAGTTTGTTTGCGGAAGGAAGAGCGGGGACTTCAGTAATCGAAGTCACACGTCTCGTATTCCACGGTCACAGCCTTGATCTTGAGCCACTCGTGTAATGCCTCCTCACCTGCATCATGTAAAAGGCATTATCCACCACGACGCAAACAACAGAAACACGCAACGGGAAAAAAAAAAGGTTCGATTTTCAACGAAATTCTTTTTTAAATATCGAAACTTTGAGTAGAAAAAAAATCGAATTCAACTAGAACCACCGAAACTCACCTAGAACCTCCGAACAACGGCTGAACTCACCCATAACCGCCGAACAACCTCCGAACTCACCTAGAACTGCCGAACTCACCTAGAACCGCCGAACAACGGCCGAACTCACCTATAACCGCCGAACAACCACCGAACTCACCTAGATCCTTTCCGAAGCCGGACTGCTTGAACCCTCCGAAGGGCACGGCGACGTCCGTCTTGTTGTAGGTGTTCACGAACACCGTGCCGGCCTCGAGCCGGTCGGCGATGTGCATCGCCTTGTTGATGTCCTTCGTGAAGATTCCCGAGGCGAGACCAAACTCCGTCCGGTTGGCGCGGTGGATGACGTCCGCCACGTCCCTGCGCGGGACGATCCCACAAAATTAGATTACCTCACTACGCACGGACGGTTAGCAAGACGTCGCTCATGGTTAACGATCGTCGGCGGCGAGTAAGACATGGTTAATTTATGTTTAATCATGATAATGTCTCATTGTTGGTAAACATGTTCGTGGATTGTCTGTAGTCACTGAAGATTAGCGAGCATAAAGAGCGAGGCTTCGTGATTGACCCAACTTCTAATATATAAATAAATAAATAAAATATATATATATATATATATATATACAGTGTAGCCCTGTTATAACGCGATGGTTGGGGTCCATAGAATGTCATTGCAAAAAAAGCAAAGGTCACACTAAATCGGGCTTATATATACGTGGCTATATAAGAGCAAAAAAGGGGGTCCAACGACTTATATTGCGTTATATCCAAATTCACATTAAATCGGGGAGGGTAAAATTGGGGTTCCACTGTATATATATATATATATATATAGTTATAGAGACAACCCTCTGGAACCACGCATCCTAGTATAATACCAGTCTAGGTGTTTATTACTGATGGGAGCGATATTTGTGTTGTCAACACAGACTGAATGTGAGCTTACATGTCGTCAAACTTGGAGATGACCATTATTGGTCCGAACGATTCTTCCTGCGCGACATACATGCTGTCCGTCACGTCGGTGAAGATTGCCGGCTCCAGGAACAATCCTACAGGATGCCACAGAAGATCCCATGATTAAAAATAATGAATTCATTCAACAGAGTGTGACCAACATAATCATCACTATGTGCTCTGGGAATTATTGAAATTCATTTTCCTAATGCAATTGATTTTACATGTATATTGTTCAATCGGGGAGTTTTCGAAATGCATTTTCCTAATGCAGTCGACTTTACATATACATTGTTCGAACTGGCAGCTTCTGAAATGTGTTTTCAAAAGGCGATCCATGGTTTCCTCCCTTACCCTTTCTGTCCAATCGTTTTCCTCCATATACGAGGGTAGCACCCTCCTTCTCTCCAATCTCAAGATATTCAAGCAGTTTGTCAAAATGTGCCCTAGAGCAGTCACATCGGTTATTGCCAAAATAATTTACCATGCAGTTAGATGTAAAATCACATCGAAACTGTGAAATATACACACACTAATATAAAGATACGCTACTTAAGTGTGAGATTTATACACCTGATGCTGAAGGGTAGGTGGTAGTGATCAGTGGAGAGCAGCCAAACCAAATTTACTTTGCCACTATAGAAGCCTCTACCTTTTGAATGTTGTAGGGAGAAGGAATTTTGTCATGTTATTAATGTTTATCATTGATATCACAAGGTAACATTTAAACGAACATTTACCATTTACATGCATTCTTTATAAACATTGCCTCGTACGAACTGAGCAAGTTTACCCTGCTGAACAATATTATTTATATATTAATGCCTGCCGTTGGGGGCACTATGAGAGCATAGTGCCCCCAACAACAGGCATTAATGTTTTTAGTGCATCGCATGACTATGCAATCTACTTTTCATGCTTATATACCTTCTTTATACTCCCTAATTTGCCGGTGCATTCGATGTAACAAAACGTTCGACACAAACACAACTGCCGTTCGAAACTCTTGCGTGGCGCCCAGACGCAGGAGATTCGTGACGTGAACACAATGCGTTATAATAACAATGCGTCGCGCAAGCAATAGTGCCCGCTCAGGCGGGCACTATTGCTTCATAGTGCCTGCTGCGTTATCCAATGGAATTTCAACGATTTATCACGTGATGCACTAATAACTATTCAGTGTTACATCGAGTGCTGCGTCTGTCTGATAATGCTTACTTGTGGTTTTGGGGGCCGTGCGCCGTGGCTCTGTCTAATGGATCACCAATTTTCATCTTGCCCACTTCGGCTATCTAAGGAAATAATAAACAGCGAGTGAGAGAATGTGCGCTCAAGTTGCAAAGTGCTCGTACCTGTCAAAGATTCGATAAAAAATCAAGAATTAGAATTAGGAGATTTCCACCTAACAACGTGAGCTAATGTCGCGGAATACAGCGACGGATGTCACTGCCACCGAGCGCGTTTAAATACGGCAGTCAAGTATCGCAATGACTCACCATTCTGTTGACAAACTCATCGTGAATGGAATCGGCCACAAAGATGCGACCCGCTGCGATGCAGTTCTCTCCCTTGTTAAAGAACACGGCACCGCTAGCCTGCGAACACAGAATGCATTTCAAAACATAAATTCGGCATAATCCACATACAGTTTATCGAGAGGAAATACACCAACTTAACTCCGACTCTGCAATCAAGTTAGAAAGGAAAGCAATGTCACAATGGGCCCCACCTCTTAATCTCACAATTATTTGCGCACGTGGAAAAATATCCCAATGCATGTAACCATTATATTTTATTTTATCTACCTGTTTCACAGCTCTGTCCAAATCACAGTCAGCGAAGATAATGAGCGGAGACTTGCCTCCAAGCTCTAACGAACACTTCTTAAGGTTGCTCATTGCACAGCTATAACATAAAATATCACTTACTTTTAACTAAAATTTTTACACTTAACTTAACACAAAACTTAACACAAACGTCACTTGTTGTTTACTCAATTTCTACCATTTAAATTTCTATATTTATTGTATTAATAAATGCAACAAGTGCCGCAGTGCGACAGGGCTCATCTGGTGTCTGGTGTTCTGCTGATAAATTCATTTGTGCATAGCAAGACGTCTTATACATAAGTCTTCTTTATTCTTGTTTGACTTTCGTAGCCAATTCAAACAAATATATCAGCTACACTTTCGCACCCACCTAATCTCTATGGGCTAATTCTAATAACAATTCAAATACAAGTTAATGAATGACATTGACGTTGACATAAAAAATTTCAACATATGAGCATGGATCTCCAAGTTTAATTAGAGGGGGGGGTCCTTCTCTCCCACCTCCCTGCCCACTGCGTCCCACCTCCCTCCCTCCTGCCTCTCACCTCCCTCCCCCTGCCTCCCACTTCACTCCCCTTGCATCTCACTTCCACCCCCTTACCTCCCATCTCCCTCCCCCTGTCTTCGGCCTCCCTCCCCCTGCCTCCCACCTCCCATCCCCTTGCACACCATCTCGCACGACCTGATTGTACCCCTGCTATGCCACCATCGCGCATGAATCACCTACACTGTGTATACGAACGCATTTTACTGCAATACCAGCACCAGTAGCTCCCAAAATGTAGACAGGCGATGGTACGCGATGAGGGTAAACATTGTCGAGGGTTACTAATGCTCACCATCGCATGATCTCCTGTCCAACCTCGGTTGATCCAGTGAAGCCCAGCTTCCGAATATCTGGGTGACCAGTTAATGCAGCTCCAATCTCGGCACCTGCAAGCAACGCACAGAACTCGTTGTTAGGTAATATCAGAAGTAGATAATAGGGGGGTTCCCTATTATCTACTTCTTGTAATATACAAGCCATGGGCAGGTGGCTCCATCTGTGGAGGCTTGCAGTAATTGCACCTTCATTATGTTGCAGCACTTCCAGTTGAACCTAGGCTAAAGTTACTACCCTGTCTTTGATCTGTAAATTTTAAAAAGCCCAAGAAAATCATTCCGATGCATACAGGCAGAAGTTGCTTAATTGCTGGTACTGCTGACCTTTCACTTTCTCAAAAATGTTCCCACTTCTTTCTTTACCGATACACTAACAGAGACTCACCTGAGCCTGTCAGGATGTTTATGACACCTGGAGGGAATCCAGCTTTTACAACCAGTTCTGCAAACTTCAGTGCGGTCAGCGGAGTCACCTAATAAATATAACAACACAGACGTCAACACAAGCCATGAGTTTTTATCAATCACTACCAATCATCTCCTACTATATTAGTAATTATCTGTGGAACCAAGATTAGGATAATCAAACATTTGCATAATCCACTTCCGAAGGGACCAATCGAAACCTCTATGACACGTGGCGTGTACTAACCAATTATACAAACTCAACATACAAACTAACTCGATGATTAATTACTCCGACAGCAATTACTTACAACTTACGAGACGGGGCGTCTACTAACCAATTAAAAAATTCATTAAAAACTTTAATTAAATACTCGAAAGATGGTGCCACGCGTGACGTACCTGCGCAGGCTTCAGTACGACGGTGTTGCCGGCGGCGAGGCAGGCGGACATCTTCCACGCGAGCATCATGAGCGGGTAGTTCCACGGCGTGACGATGCCGCAGACACCGATCGGCTCCTTTACCGTGTACGACAGGTTACGGTTGGGCCGCGCGTGGCTGATCGGAATAGTCTGCCCCTGTGGTGACGAACGGGGCGGCGCGGTTAAAGCAGTGGTGGTTAGTTGTATTGCTTGCTTACAAAAGCAATTCTATTATCTGTTTTAATTTTTAATTTTAGATTTTTACTATCTCTATATTACTTTACATGTGTAGACTACCTGTACGTAATACATGCTGTGTAAACGTGCCAAGTACTGTGAAATTAAG